TGGTTTAACTTTGACTAATGATACTGCATAAATTACATTCTTGATATTTATATAACTTCTGATTATAACTATATCAATAAGATAACCTTAAATCTCACTTCGCTTTAGCCAACCACGATTTTTGGTAAATTTCCTGACTGTATTTATATACTGTTTTTAAAGAATTTTATAAAAAAGATAACATAATACAAAAACCGGATTGTTATCAATATCATTGCGCAATTGAAACAATTAATTATATTAGTAATCTAACATCATAAACCATGTAAGTCTAACAATTTTGAATATGTATATTATTTTGAAACTCGAAACATTAAACTGAATCAGGTGTTATCTAACACCTTCCTTAAGAACCGTTTTGGAGATCAAAACTGGACTAAAAAAACGTTGATGGACCGGTCTGATTAGAAGAGACTGAACTGGACCAATCCATCACAATTAAAATAATATGCTAAGTATATACAGTAAAACCTTCATAAGTGCACGCTCTTAGAACTGAACTTTAACGACGTGCACTTAGAGAACAATAAGAAAAAGTGCATTTATGAAGGTCATGTATATATTTGGGCGCGAATTTGAGTGTGCATTTAGAGAGGGCGTGCATTTATAAAAGGTGCACTTATGGAGATTTCATGTATTTAAATTTTGATCTGACGCAAATTTTAATTAGACATACAACATAAATATGTTTTATAAAGTAAAATAATTAAATGATTTAGGGTATTGATAAGTGTACTATTATTTCTGCTAATCGTACTCTCATGCGAAATTTTTGTAGACTAAGTAATACGAATAGTAGTGATGTATGGTTTAGTAAAGTAGTAGAGTATAATACATTAAATTAGCAAACATGTGAGTACAACTGAGTATATCTTGTATAATATGCAAATGTATATAACATTTATGCAAACATGACTAGACTTCAAGCTTTAAAACTTAGCAGTTATATGATAATCCGACTAACTGGCTTTATTTTGATGGGTTAATGCAGTTATTCTTGGAACGCATCTATGCTCTATAACAGTATAATAAACATTTTTAAAAAATATTTATTAGAGTCCGACATCAGAAAAAGTAAACTACTTCTATAAGGAACATAAAGAACTGTTCACTTCATTATACGAAGTTAACTGTATACATATTTTGTTATTCATATGCAGACAAAAAATAAAGGTGGCTCATATGTAGAAATACAAGAAAACAACATATTCATGCTATAGTGAAGTTCCCACTAAACCTATAGGCTCGAAATATTAGACTTAAAAAATGATATATAATTAATTCTATATCATCAAGAGTTCACTCTAACAAAGGTGAGCTGTATTTGGTACTGGTTCTTTTCGTCATTTAACTCGTGAGTATATTTTTAGAACTTTACAACTGTTAATTATTTATTTGTGTTAATTTGATTCATAATTGAATGGAGAAATCTAGTTACAGAGAAACGGACATAACGAACTTTGAAATTTTTAATTTTATATTATTGAGTTTGTAACATATAGATTTTGTATACTTAATAATTCAATATCAATTGAACAATTTAATTCATGGTTATTATTCATTTTAAATCTGATTAAAATTATTATTTATTAGCCAAGTTTCTCTTTAGAATCAGGTCTACCGAATAATTAATTGTGAGGGCAATTTTTGCAGTTTGAAAAATGTAATGGTTTAATAAAATATGTAAAAATAAACATAAGTATGACGTCAAAACTTGTAGTTTTTGAGTTAAATTGTACAAACCACAAGAATATTAATTTTCATTCTTTTACAAAGACATGTAAATAGTACAGCATTCTAAAGTTTTTTTTAAAATCGGTTTCAATGAATGCCAAATGCTTTTTTAGGCCTTCAAATGACGGCAGACATTAATGTAATTTATGTTCTTCCAGTCATAATCGATAGTGTTTATCGATAGTATTCTTCCAGATCACAGCCAAATGATAATCATCATCAGCGTAATTTACATTCTTTCGACGATACCTTTTTTAGACCTTCAAATTATGGAAAATAGTGTAATTTATGTCCTTCCAAACTATTTTATATAAAATATATTGAGTATAGTATACTAATTTTTTATATACTCAAATGTGATTTTTGCAGTATACTCTACTACTTTACTAAATCATACACCACTATTACTCGTAATACCGTTGTAGACTTCCCGGGTTTCATTTTATCGTGTGGTAAGTTAATACCAGAAAGCTTCGTAACTACAATAATTTCCATTATTTATCTTTATATGATTTTCAAATATACATAACGAAATACTATTTTTAATTTAATATATACTGTATTTAATTATATGTTGTATGTCAAATTAAAATTTGCTTCAGATTAAAAATTTGAATTCTGAGTGTATTAAAGTTAAGATGAAAGAGTAAAGATAGGTATTAGCGAGATTAAATTTATTTTAATCTGAAGTAGATATTGATTTGACGCACAACAGAAATGTATATTTTTTAATTATCATTATATAATTTAAGATAACAAAAATTCCATAAAATTGAAATTTAATATGAAATTCATAATAATTTATTTTTAGGATTGTTTGGTTTTCACTCGGCGATACTCATTCATATATTTATTTCAACTTTTATTTACAACATTATAATAAATCATAATAGGGAGAGTTTTATAATTAAATCAGAGAATCTTACTTTGTTTTTCCGATTTATAATTCTATTTGTTAATTATGAAACCCCTTAATACTGTATACAGATACAGATATAGGGAATATTTCAAATTACGCATTGTCAACTAAATTCAACAAACACAAGAAAATAAATTTTATTATTGTTAAATGCACGAAAAAATGTACGGGTCTACAAACGCATATACGCATATTTCTACTTATACGTAGTTAAATGTGGCATAGTTGAGTGAAATGCTGAAAAGAATAAAGAGATTCTGGGTAATAAATTCAGAATCCCGTGTCACGTGATATTATATTTAATAAAATGCGTATATATTTTATATATTTTATATATATATTTCAACAATAACACGTAGATAAATAATACTAGACGTACATTACGTATTTATGTACATAAACGTTAAGCTTAAATAAAAACTGGTGAAAATCTACATTTTTTAAACTAACTTCGATATACAAAACATGATGATCTCTCGGCGATACCCTATAATAGAATTAAGGTCAATTATTACTACGAGATCAACTAATTATTTTGTATTGGTTAAATAAAAATTGTCCGTATATTATTGGAACAGGATCATCAATTAAAATTACTGTATTTTGAAATCAGATCTTTTTATTTCTGTATTTGACTCAGGTGCGTACGTACAGTACTTACATGCATTAAAATGAAGTCAGTTTACTTACGTAGAAATTCGTATTTCATTTTCCAATAATTTGATAGTTTTATTTATATCGAAGCATTTGATTTCAAAATACTATATACATACATATAAATATATATGTGTATGTATATATTGTCTGTCAATGCGTGAAAATTTTTGACATGAAATACTAAACAAAAGAACAAGTAATGAATAATGACGGTCAATTATATAAAATGAAGTATAATGAATGAATGCAAAATAAAAAACACTGGTTAAAGCAGTTTGACAGTTTATGATTTATGGAATCATTATGTTAATTAGATATGCAAAATCATAATATTTCTCAATGTATGCTTGGCATTTATTCAGGGGCTGATCTTGTATGCTAGGTTCAATAGTATTCGTCTGAATTTTTTTTTCCCGTCTCTGATAAAAGTATTTTAAAAAAAAAGTATTATATCGTTATCACATGATTTTCCAAAGTACTTTTTCATTCATTCATCCTATTTCTATTTTCATTCTTTGATTAGATATGGCTCACTATGAACCAGTTATTTTGCTTTAATTAAAGAATATTCTCGATTATCTAAAGTTATCAAAAAATTTAAATAAATCATTCTAGCTAATATTGAATAAAATTTATACGTACGCAGCATAAATTCTAGCCAAACTTGAAAATTTTTACATTCTTTACTATATTAATTATATGTTTAATAATGGCGATTATTTTATTTTGGAAATGTATGCAGGTACTTAGAATTGGATGCAGGTATAATTGATTATTTTTTTTTACAAAAGGATTAGCTATTGTTCGAAATGATAATATTACATAATGAAATAACAAACCAACACAAAAACTGGGATAAACGTTAAGAAGATTCGATTATTCGCATTAAAAAGAGAGGTAAGATCATCATAGATTAACAATATTAATTGGAAACTCATTTAAAAGCCGTAAAAAAAAAAGTGAATGTTGTGACTCAAAATAATAGGTACCTTAGAAAATCTGTTAATCTTTAGCCACTTTTCTACTCGAGTAGGAATTCAAGGATAGTTAAAATTCCGAACTAAATTTTTGTTAATCAAATGTTGTATATGTAAATTTAGAAAAAAAATGAGTTGCATTAATTACAATTAATGATTGGATAAAATTTAAAAGTTATACAAAAATGGCAAGTAATTTCAAAACTTTCAAGTTGCGTAAAACTAAAAAAAAAAAAAAAACACCACTAATAATAATACTCTAAAGTTTGTTACCTATATGCACACTAACCCGTTTAGGTCAACTTATTAAATAACTACACAACATAATTATAACAACCCTTATTATGATATTATAATTATTAAAAATAAATTAGAATGGTCAATATTTATGGTTCCACTTGACCATCGGGTCGTTTAAAACTATATCGTAAATGCATACAAGTGTAAAAAAAAACCTAATTACATTAATTTTTTAATAAAATTTTAATCATTTTTGTAGTACGATTAACTTGAAAATGTGGTACTTACTTTTGTTCAAAAGTTTCTATATCTGATATGTGGTATGATAAATTTTGTACCTTTTGGGAATCAAAACAAACTAACAATAATGCATGTAATATTGCACGACATAATCCACGATAATGTTATTAAAAAAAAATGAATAAAAAGATATAAATTTTTTCTAAAATAACGCCATATTTCCCCATGAAAGTATGAAAACGTTGAAGTTCTTGCAACTCAAGAGCCGGAACCCTGGAGGCCGACAAAGCAGGCATAGCTTCGGTTTCTTTCGTACCCAAGATGAAGGTATATCAAATATTCCTCCTAAACCGGAGAGAGAAAAAGACTTTTCTTCAACTTTAAAAACATATCTAACGAAAAAAAGGAATCGAAGTCAAAGAGATCAAACTACATCTCGTGAGGTTCGTGCCTCTACTGTTGAAGCCTTTACCATAAATGGTTTAAAGGAAGAAATACGACAACGGGAGGCTACGCTGGAGGCCTTAAATAAAAGGATTAAGGGTATAGAGTCTGAAAGAGATCGTGCCCAAGTAGAATTAGAAGAAGCTCAGGTACAACTTAAGGAGCGTAGTCATGAGGTCCGGGACCTTAAGGCCTTGCTCCCGGAACGTGACGAAATTATTGAACAATTAACAGAAATAGTTAATAAAATGAGAAGGGAAAAAGAAAATTTTCAAGTAGAATTAGATAAAACAAAATCAGAACTTAAAGTTCGAGAAGGAGAAATAAGAGAATTAAATTTTTCATTACTTGAATGTGCACATGATTTACAAGCAGCTAAAACTGACCTTTCAGTTACAATAAGTGAAAGGGATATAGCACTTTATGATATACAAAAACAATTAAAAGAACGAGAAAAACTTGTACAGACACATGCAGACCAAATATTTTCTCTTCAACAAGAACTTGAGGCAGCTCGAATAGATCTTCACTCTACAAGGGAAGAACTTGAAGCAACTCAAACAAAATATAGTGCAGAAATTGATGCAACACAAGCGATGTGTTCAGCAGAAATTGAAGCAACTAAAGCAAAATGTACAGCAGAAATAGGAGTTATAAGAGCGAAATACGCAGCAGAACTCCATGCTACAAAAGAAGAGCATGCAGATGAATTAGAGGCCACCAAAGCGCAGCTTTCCTTTTTTAAATCACAACTTGATTCGACTAAAGCACAACTTTCTTTTACCAAATCAAAACTTGAGTGGGCAAAGGCAGATTTATCTTCTATTAAATCATTATTGGATACAGCAAAATCAGAGGTTTCCACCACGAATAATAAATTAAAACGAACAACAGCTGAATTAGAAGCAACTAAAGAAGAAGTTGATGGATACATAGATATGATGGCATATAGAGATGGACTTACTTCTCTAATAATATCAGTTTATCAAGAAGATATTCGAAATGAAAAAGAACGAACAGGATCAGAACTTGAAGATACACAAGAACAATTGAATAAAATAAAAGCTACACATGAAAAGGAGAAAAAGGCAAATGCCAAAACAATAAAACAATTAACAAATCAAATTCAGAATTTGACAAATTCACAAGGTAAAATTAAAAAAATATTTTATTTTATTTTATTTTATTTTATATTTACAAAATATAAAATTTTATAGTTCAAGAAAAAGCTAAAATATATCAACTTGAAACCGATAATGCTAAATTACGGAAACAACTTGAGCAAACGAAAACGCAAGGTTAGTTGGTTTTATTATAATAATAATAATAATAATTATAATAATAATAATAATAATAATAATATAAAATAAAAAATAAATATATATATTTGTGTACTTTTTTTTTTAAATAAAACAGCCACAGAAGAAATAGCGTGTTTACAAGCTAAAGTTGAAACGTTATTTGCTACATCAAAAACACAAGAAATTATTAATGAGGCACCTATTTCTACCGCCAACATATCAACGCCACCAGAATCCCCATGTAATTCGCGACCAAGTAGTGACCTCTTTAATGAAACGACCAGTGATGCAAGTAGTATAACCGATGGTATAATTAATGGAGGCATAAATACAGTAGTTACAACTGTTGCAAATGGAGATTGGGTAACAGTTAGAAAACGAGGTAGTAAACGAAGAGGAGCATCACGAAATCGCGGAGGAAATCGTGGTGGACGAAGGGTGAGTTTCACCTTTGAAATTATTTGATTAAATATGAAATTAATATTATTAAAAATTATTAATATTGAATGCTAATTTCATTTCTTTCAAGTATTAGATATCAAATCCGAATATTATACACCAATAATTGAATTTAATTAAGGCAATCACGCAAGAACGGTTCATCATCCTACTTATCCATGGGAACTTTAATATTTAATTACAACATCAACTATCGATACAACAATTGACACTCCTTTTTTTTATAACACCATTAACTTTCGACCACATACATCTCTCTCACTTGCCGTTTCATTAATAATTCATAATTCAGTTCTTATTTTTTTTGAGTGTATTATTCTGGATTGGGTAATATTAATTATTTTTTCTGTATTATATTGTAGTTGACTTTATTTTTGGGATAAAAGGGATAACGATAATAATAGGCCAATTTTAGGTTTAAAATATTACGACAAATTACATAAACAAAAAAAAAAAAAAAGTTTGATAAAAAAAACATTAATGAATTATGTAAATTATGGTGGTATTATTTGAAATAGTATTATCATACCCCCAAAATAGTCATTTTTTTATTTTTACGCAACTTGAAAGTTTTGAAATTACTTGCCATTTTTGTATAACTTTTAAATTTTATCCAATCATTAATTGTA